AGTGCTGGGATGATGGGCTTGAGCCACCACGCCTGGCCTAAACACTGTAGTTTTCTATTTAGAAAGTGCCCGCATGGCCAGTGTGGTGGTTCATGCCTGTCATCTAAGCACTTTGGGAGGCAAGGCCAGAGGGTTGCTGGGGCCCAGGAGTGCAAGGCCAGCCTGGGCAACACAGTGAGACTGCATCTCTACCAAAAATCAAAAAAATGAGCCAAGCATGGTGGTGTGCACCTGTAGCCTCAGCTACACTGGAGACGGAGGCAGGAGGATGGCTTGAGCCCAGGGAGGTCGAGGCTGTGGTAAGCTTGATCCTGCCACTGCACTCCAACCTAGGCACCAAGGTGAGTCCCTGACTCCAAAAAAAAGTGTGTTTGCAATCAGAAGCGACCATAAATGACAAAGGACACTGTCGGGACATCCACAGGAGCGGGACGGCCCCTCCTACCAAATGTTAGGGCAATAAGAAGCAGCACGAAGCCGGGCTCGGTGGCTCAGCCTGTAATCCCGCGCCTTTGGGAGGCTGAGGTGAGTGGATTGCCTGAGCCCGCAGGTTCAAGACCCGCCTGGGTGGCGAGACTTCATCTCCACAATAAATCAAAAAATCAGCCGGGCGTGGTAGCGCATGCCTGTAATTCCGGCTACTCGGAAGGCTGAGGAGAAAGGATCGCCGGAGCCCAGCAGGTCGAGGCTGCAGTGGCCAGGAGCAGCCACTGCACTCCAGTCTGGGCGACAGAGTGAGACTCCAACTCAAAAAAAAAAAAAAAAAAACTTAGTATTACAATTCAACACAGATACACTCACAATAATTAGCATTTATTATTTTCTGTGTGCCCTTTAAGACTTTTTTTCCTTGCATTATTTTGTCCTTACAGCTGTCTTACAGTTTCATTATTATTATGTTCATTTTATAGATGAGGAAGCCAAGGCACAGAGATTAAGTAAATTGCCCAAGTCATATAATAAGTGGTCATGCTTTTAATCATTGAGCAGTAGCTGCCCCTAAATGTAAGAGACTATGCTAGGTCTTAAAGATGAATACATAGTCAGTCCCTGTCCTAAGTTGAGTAAGAAAAACAAAATTAACCTGTCAACAGAAAAGTGAATTCACTGACAAGTAAATTACAGTATGACAACTTGCCTCTTTTCAAGGAAGGCCCAACTGAAGGGGAAGAGTTTATTTTCAATCTGCCTGTGATGTGAGGGAGCAGGATTTGAAGACTGAATTCTTCAACAAGTTATTTGTTTGACCAAGTCTCTCATTGTTAACACTACCCTAAACATATGGAAAAAGAAGTCCTTTTAGGGTGAAAGTCTTCAGTGTTGAAGCTGGTGTGAAAAAATTTGGACAAATATTATAGTTAGTTTTCTCTAAAATAATTTTAAAATTATATAAACTCAAAATTCCAGAAAACTAAAATAAAACCAGCAGGTGAACTTTTTGTTCCTGTGAGCATAGGAAGACTAAAACTAGCTTGCTTTAAAATCGATCTCCTACAGACTGAGATTATTCTCTACATTGTACATATAAGATAAGAACAACACAAAATGGGAAGTTAGAATCATAGTACTTTAGGCCAGAACATGAACAGCCACTAGGATTTGTCAGGTTGTGGTTATTGAAAATAATTCATCAGATCTCTAGAATAAAACAGAACCACTGGCACAGTGGTTGCCTCTAGGTAGACGAACCTTATAACTAAAAGATGAAGTGTATGAGTGAGAAGTGCTTTCTTTTGCTAAAACATGTATTACATATTCAAAATAATGTATTTTTTACTTAAAAATAAAATATCTGGAAACATTCCTGAGATGTAAATACTGGGGGTGCCAGAAAAAATATATATACGTTTTAAGAGCTGTTATCTATGTATTACCTTTCAAAGTACTTTTCAGAAAGTCTGAACACTGATGATAATCATTTGGAGCACCTCTTGTAATTGCAGAAGTGAAATGTGATTTGTATTCCTCTTTTGTTATCAGTATATATTGAGTATTACAATTTTAATACAGTTTTTTTCTTAACATGTATACTTTTTTTGGCTCTCTCCTTATAATAAAGCTTTATTGTCACTAAGGAAAGCAGTGATGTGGAAGAATAATTCATAGCAGTGTTAATCACATCAGTAAATATTGATCCAGCACTTTAACATCAGTTAATGCTTTTTCTCTTCAGTATAGGGAACTATTTTTAAAATGATTCCCTCTTTTTGAAATTATGATGGAAGATGAAGATAGAGAAATAAGTCACAGGATAGGCATCTTACTAGAAGTACTGAAAAATATTTACTATTTTATTTCATGAAGTCCCAAGCCTAGCTTAGAAATTCAACAATAACAAAATAGGCCTGGAAAACTTAGAATCTGGAAGTTAGCCCGTAAATGGAATCAACTTCCACTGAAACCCACCATGCCTGCTGAGCATGCCCAGTTAACTCTTTCACCACCTGGCAGAAGTTCATCACAGACTGCAAGAGACAATGAGACTATACAGCAGTGAGTTTAGACTGTGGTTGGAACTGAGGGGAGGAATAATAGCACAAAGGAAAAGTGTGAGACAGAAAGAAAAGTCTCCCCAAACTAACCATGCCCCTAAAGAGCCAGATTCTCAGCATGAAGGAAGTGAGGTGGGTAGTTAGGGTCCAGAAGTCTAGAATATATCAGATAAAAAGGAAAAAGTAGCAGCCAAACCTCCATATCTCCTTTTTTTTTCTTTTTTCCCTCCCAGGAGATTAGTGGATATCGGTGGAGGAGTTATTAAAACAGTGGAAACATTAGTCAACTAATCAGAGCTTCCAAAGAGTCACCTAAGTTAAATAAAATAACTTTAAAACATTGTTTTTATTATATCAGATGGTATAGAACTTTTCTAAATTCAACTACATAGAACAGTAAATGTGTCCTTAATTTTTTTTCTTTTAATTTTCAGGAAATAGCCTTTTTTCATTACAGTGTGCTAAAGATGCTTAGTTTTCTTGCTCATCAAAGTAATTTTTAAAATCAGTAGAAATTCCCATTTTTAAAGAAATCTAATGTTCTTAAGTGCTCATTTTAGAAAACAGTAAAGAACAATGATTTAATATTTTAAGATTATATTTGAACAGCTTTATTTTTCATGTCCCAAGCATAATATGAAGCATGTTATTAATGGTAAATGTTAAGTGTATTATATCATTTACTACTGTAATTTTAGTTGAAGTGGTTGTGATGTTTAATTGAGCGGTGTGACTTTTTTCCAGAATGGAATTATTAGTTCCACTTGTACAGAGTTTGAAAAAACGAATGGAAGTACCAGACTATGAAATGGTAAATATTTTAGATTGAAGTATAAAGTTGATTTTTTGTAAATACAATTTTCTGAGTGGAAAAATTTGCTTTTTGTTAAAGTGGTTCGTTTTTGTTCGTGTACCTATAAAATCTGAATTAATTATTTTAAAAAGTGGATAAGTACATATCTTTTAGAAACCAGAATACTGGAGAAGTTTTCCAGGAAAAACAATCTTTTCTCGATTTTATGTATAAAACAAAATTCTGTGTATTTTTTAATATTGTCTGTATTCAGATTTCTCTTCATCAGAGAAAATAAAGTACACAATTTCTAGAGTTTCCCATTTTTTTATTGATTCTTATTTATGCTCCTTTCTTCCTTATTTTCCTCTTTATTTAAAGCTTTTCTGATTGTAAAACCAAGAGAAAGGTAAAAGAACTTTGGGTACCACATTTTAAATGTAGTAGCTGTTTGTCAACCAGGAACTGAATGCTGTGACCAAAGATTTTTCCAGTTGTAATTTTTTAAATATTATTTTACAATCTTTGAAGCATATATTTTCCCATTTGATTCAGTTCTTGAGATGAAAAAGCTGGAGCTTAAAGTGTTCAAGTAATTTTTCTCAAATTTGATGCTAGGGCTGAGATCTCTAACTTTCTTGACTCTTAGTCTGATGCTTCTCTTACTCTTACTTCAATAAACTACATTTTCATGTTTTATTTAGTGTAGAATACAGTCAGACCACCTGATTAAACTGAAGTTTAAGTATTGATTTAATGCTGAATTTTACGAATAAAAATGATAGCAAAAAGGTTGTACACGGTGATCCTCCCACCTCTGCCTCCACTTTCAGCCTATTGCCAGCTAAATCTTTGATATGCATCCAAACGTTGCTATGTATCCAAAGCCTCTAATAAAATAGTAGATTAGTGTTTTTTCATGCTTTGCACTTGGGTACTCTAGGAAAAACTATGACATATATAAGTTCCAGTTTTCAAAACTTTAAAGCTGAGGTTGCAGAATAGTAGCCTGTGAGCTACTTCTAGCTTTAGATATATTTACTTTAGTGCTAAAACTGGAACACCATTCATTTATGTTTAAAACACATATAAATACCAGTAAGTTTGTGGTTATTCATAAAGGATGCGCAGGAAAACAGCTTGTTAAATAAGGTAAGAGGAAGACTTTCTCCTGTATGCTGTCGGAGCTTTGAAGTTAGTACTAGGTGCATGTATAAAAAGTAAAAATAAAGTAATGTGTTTTTAAAAAGTGAGGTGAGAATATCTATAGTTTTATATCAACTTTTTAGAATCTCAGTGAAATGGATAAATAGCTAGAAAATGTGAATTATCAAAATTGTCTCAAAAACAGAGAAACTAAATGAACCAGTAATCAAAAAACAAATTAAAGAAGTAGTTAAGGAAGTATTCCTAGAATAGGTATTGGGCCCACATAGATAGGTCAGTTCTACCAACATTTCAGAGAGCAGATAACTTCTATGACATAGATACTGTGAAGGAAAAAAATAATCTCAATGCAGGAAATTGTTAAAAATTAAGTTTTTTTTTTTTTTGAGTTGGAGTCTCTTACTCTGTCGCCCAGGCTGGAGTGCTGTGGCACACTCACGGCCTCCACAGCCTCGACCTGCTGGGCTCAGGTGATTCTTCCACCTCAGTCTTCCAAGTAGCTGGAACTACAGCCATGCACCACCACACCTGGCTAATTTTTTGATTTATTGTAGAGATGAGGTCTTGCCAGTTTGCCCAGGCTGGTCTCAGTCCCATGGGCTCAGGCAGTCCTCTCACCTCAGCCTCCCAAAGTGCTGGGATTATAGGCATGAGACACTGCACCTGGCCAAAGGTTAAATGCCTTATTTAAGGTGATGAATATCCCAGTTACCCTGATTTGATACTTATACATTTTATGAATATATTACAATTACATTATCACATATACCCTAAACATATGTATATCTGTTATATATTAATTTTAATTTTTAAAAGATTTATCATCAAGGCCATTAATGATTAAAGAATCTCTTAAAAACAACTAAGTTGCCAGACACAGTGGCTCATGCCTATAATCCCAGCACTTTGAGAGGCAGAAGCGAGAAGATTGCCTGAACCCAGAGGTTCAAAACCAACCTGGGCTACTTGGCAAGACCTTGTCTCTTATAATCAAAAAATTAGCACAACTGTGGTTCCAGCTACTTGGAAGGCTGAGGTGGAAGGATTGCCTGAGCCCCTCAGGTTGAGGCTATAGTGGCCGTGAGAGTGCCATGGCACTCCAGTGGGGGCAACAGAGTGAGACTCTTACTAAAAAAATAAAAATAAACTAAGTCTTTTTAATTGTCTTACTTATTCTTAGGTTCATCAGGCTGGTCTAACCTGTGATTATTCAGAACTTCCTCACCATATCAGCACAGAACAAGAAATAGAGTATCTTATTCAGTCTGTGTATTATTTACTGAAAAATTTACCAAAACCTACTCTTGTGACAATTGCAAGGTAAGTATGGTAGGCTGAATAACAGCCCACCAAAGATGCCTATGTCTTAATCTCTGGAACCTGTAAATATGTTGCCTTGGCAAAAGGTACTGTGCAGAGTGATCAACTCGAGGATTTTGGTATGAGGCGATTATCCTGGATTCACCAGGCACTGCCAGTTTTGAAGTTGAAGGATGGGGCCACAAGCTAAGGAATACAGGCAGCCTATAGAAGCTAGGAAAGGGTAGGGGACAGATTTTCCCTGAGAGCCTACAGAAGGAATGCAACCCAGCCAGCACCTTCTAAAACAAAATTCAGAGACAATATAACCTACCTACATGTATAATTTTAAAATGTAGATAATATACATAATATATAGGTAACATAACCTACCTATACACATAACAAATATACATACACACACACGCACACACACAAATCACTAACTGTAATGTAAAGGAGAAATGAAAGTAATTGATAATAAAATAATATATATTAAAATGCCACAATATACTCGTACCTTTAAGTCACTAAATGTATCAGGTACCAATGCAGACAGATACTATGTTTTGTATTGGCCAGATACCATGAACAACACTGCCATAATGGGATTTTTTTCCAATCATTGAAATATCTCTTTATAAAGATCTGAACTTAAAGCCAGTCCTCCTCAATTCACAGAGTGGTCTCATTCCCAGAAAAGTTAAGTTAATATTTAATGCATTTTTAAAATATTTTGTTTGGCCAGGCTCGGGGCTCAGCCTATAGTCCCAGCACTTTGGGAGGCCAAGGCGAATGGATTGCCAGAGCCCACAGGTTCGAGACCAGTCTAAGCAACCTGGCAAGACCTCATCTCTACTATACATCAAAAATTAGCCGTGCATGGTAGCGTACAACTATAGTTCTGTCTACTTGGAAGACTGAGGTGGAAGGATCGCCTAAGCCCAGCAGGTCAAAGCTGGGGTAGCTGTGAGTGTGCCACTGCACTCCAGCTTGGGCTACAGAGTGAGACTCCAACTCAAAAAATATATATGTTTTGTTTGTATGTAAAAGAGTGTTACATGCTAAACTCAAAAAATTTAAAACAGCTTTTTCACTTATGTGAGTGGTCAGTGGACTTTGAAAATTATGGAGGTCACAGGACAGTTATTCATATTACAGAACTGTCCTGCATGTTACAATCATTCTAACAGTCCAGCCCTCTTATCCCAGTCTCCTGTCAGTAGCATTCCCCTAGTCATTGTGACAATCAAAAATGTACCAAGAAATTTTCTTTCTTTCTTTTTTTTTCTTTTGGGTTGGAGTCTCACTTTGTCTCCCAGGCTGGAAGTTTTGAGTTGGAGTCTCACTTTGTCGCCCAATTTGAAATTGATCTAAATAATGTATTGTGTCTTAAATTTTTATATCGAGCTTCAAAGATTACCTGGTCACTGGAGAATGGAATGAGTTTATCAGAGGTGTTAGAGATGATTTTTTTTACGTTTAGGAGAAGGCTAGGTAACTGTCTAATTCCAATTCCTTGTATAAAGATGTCTGCACTGCTTTTCTCAATCCATCCTCTAACTGGCTTTCCTCACCCCTGTCTGGAACTAGGAGACACTGATTAATCTAGATGTAATTGGTAGTAACATTGTAACTGCCCAGTACAACTGGAAAAACTCGCAAAATACAGATTTCTGCCCCAACCCACTTTGCTCTTTTTTCCATTATACTGTCTAGGAAACAAATCCCAACACCACCATATTCCCACATTTCATTTTGGATCAAGCCATGGATTCTTTATTTTTTTGTAGTTAACATATTATTTGTAAAAGTAGAATCCTTTTATCAATCGGAAAACCTCTACCCCAGTCATTTCTAGCCCTAGCATACACAAAGGAATAAAAAAGATGCCTAGTCATCAGATAATAATCTCCTGTATTCCCAAGCAACATCTTTCTTTCAGGGAAACAGTGGTCTAGCGACTAAGCACTAAGGCTCATGCTACATGGTTATTTACTTAGCTATGTGACTTTGCACAGATTAATCTCTTTGTTTCAGATTCCTTTAAAGGGATGATGATTGTACCTATTTTATAGAGTTGCTGAGAAAATAAAGAACATAATTCATGTAAAGTGCCTAACATAGAATAAACATTTAGTGGCTTTCAACTGTTGTAATTCCAGAATTCAACACACCTTCATTTCCATCTTACAGTGAAATCAACACATGCAAGCTTTTCCTCACAGTTTGATTTTATCCTATTTATGTGTATTTTTCTTCTTTCTCTTTCTCTTAATGGTTCCAGGTCAAGTCTGGATGATTACTGTCCTTCTGAGCAAGTTGACACCATTCAAGAAAAGGTCCTCAGTGTGCTGTGCTCCCTCTATGGGACACTAGATATTCACCAGGTGTATTCAGCAGAGTCTTCTCCATCTTGAAACAAATACTAGGCTCCCATTACATCTTGGTATAGTAACAGGGCTTTCATTAACTTATTTGCAAATGAGTCTTCCAGAGAACACTGTTAATATTAACTTGCAGTTGAAATCTTTCAGATACTTTGAGTCTCCAAACAACTAATGATAGTTTGGCGAGTCAAACAACTGATGGTAACTCTGAAATATGGTAATTTTTTTGGCATCAAGTATGAAACCCCGAATTAATAGTACTCTTATTTTTCTTCCTTTCCATTATTGGCTTTATTTTTGTGAGGGTTGTTTTTTCCGCTTTTCTTCTGAGGTCGGTTGGACTATATAAGATCCATTTATTTATTTATTTATTTAGCAATCTGATATTTATTGAGCACTTACATGTGCCAGACATTATTAAGTGCTGGGTGTTTGGTAATAAAACAGAATAAACAAGACTTCTGCCCTCTTGGGGAAACAGATGAGAAATACATTATCAATTAGAGGAAATGTTATAAAGAAATGGACAGCCACAAACATGTCTTAGGCATGCTCTTAGTACTCAGGGTACCCTAGCATTACAGGAAAATAACATTCTCAAAAGCTACTACCAAAAAAAAAACCCCAAACTTGCCAGTCCATGAAAATATTGCAGAAAGTCTGCGTTTCCAAGGATGTTGGGACTGTGGCCTAGTCGTTGACAAATGCTGTCCAGCATTGTTGGTATTGAGAAGGTCTGGTTGAGTAAACTTGACCAAGCAAAAGCTTTTATTTATCTATTTATTTTTTCACTAATCAGAAAAGCCCTTCAGGGTTTTTTGTGCCTCCAGGTAGTTACTGTGGGTACTGACTATCATTACAGTTCCTAAGTGCCACACTTTATTGGCAGTCTGGATTGATACTTTTTCCGATAAACCAACTTTTTTGTGTAAATAGTAGGGGTAAGAGTTGAATCTTTAATTCTGACCTGCCATAAAAACCCAAGGGCATAGCTGCCTTCTACCAGCCTTCCCATGAATAAGATACCTTTCCTGAGTCATTCTTAATCATAGAACTTTTCATTTTCTCAATCTGCCAAAGTCACCTCTTCAGTTCAGTAATCATTCATAACTACCTACTTGGTTTATTTTCCTTTAAAAGGTAAGACAGCATTTAAAGAAAAACAAAAAACACCCATCATTCCTCAGTCTCACCACAGCAGTTGCATTCATTTCTACATATAACTTTAAGGCCTTGTCCACATGTGTACCTATTAGAGTTGCATGTAACTGAAATTATAGTGTGCTGCCTAACTTTGTGGCTAATATCCAGGGACACATTACTATTACCTCTCAATAGATGGCACCTGACCCCATTTTTTCAATGACCCTTTTTTTTTTTGGTCACCTACTTGATTTCCCAAGTCTGATCAAGGGAATGCTTTTTTGTGTTGTGAAAAGCAAAGCAAACTGACTCAACTTTTTTGATAGAACGTTATGTGCTCAAAAAAGTTCAATTTCTCTGTAAAATCAGATTTGCAAAATTTGTGCTATTTATTTTCAAATTTTGAAAACTTTCAGTTAGAGTTCTATAAATAGACATTACTTTTATGAGTAAATTATTTTGTGTGCTAAAAGAAGCTACAAGTTGTGTTTTAAAGATTTTAAATCAAAGTTTAGCACTAATTTGCTTGATCTCAGGTTGCTGATGACTTTGATTTTATTTTACTAGTCATTTATTATTATTCCCATGAATTCTGATGTGATCATTGTTTTAACTCAGGTTGAATAAAACCATCCATTGATTTCCTTTATAGGGACACTCAAACTGTTTCGTTTTCATGCTCTGTGATTGTCTTCTTTGAAGACTAAAATTCAGTCCCTTCTTGTTGAGTAGAACCAACTTAGAAAAGTACGTCTTGCACATTCCCAATAGGAAGATATTTCATTTATCAAGACATTCCTCATTTGTGTTCTAAGTACCAGTGAGGGAATACCATGGAACAGTGTTTAGAATTATGTACAAATATAATTGAAGCATGGGATTTGAGCAGCTTTTTGAAAACTGTGACTTAAACATAGACTTTCATATTTCCCAGTATCTAGGGGAAAGTTTAAGGCCTTTGATAGTACCCTTTTGATAGACAATTTTGTATCTCTTTAGAAATATTTCCTGTAGACATCCGTCTTATGTGTCCTAGCTTCTCAAGGAGCTGTCGTCAATATCCTTCACTCTTTATGTGATAATCTTTCCTAAGCTTCACTTTGTTTTATCAACAGTGGCCCTGGATTTCTGGCAACAGATCTTCTGTATTGCCAGTCATTTATAGTTAGCAGCTGGTTTCTTAGTACAAGAGTCTTTCATTCATTGTGTATTTCATAAGAAAGAACTTTAGTGAAACTTAAGCAGTTTTTGTTGATCATCATTCAGAAGTGCTTGAGACACAGTCCTACCTGCTCAACATGTACTGATAACTTTTATGAGAGGATCAGCAGTTTTATTATATAAATATTAAGGTGATTTTTTGATATCCATAGTTAAATGGTTATTATAGTCAAGTAAGTCATCATATCTGTCTTCTTACAGATACTCGTGTGTGGGGGTATGTGGGTGGGTGGATGGCACAAGCACCTAAAATCTACTCTTTTAGTAAAATTCTGGAATCAAATACAGTAAGTCCCCTACATATGAACCTTCAAGTTCCTAACTTTAATGATGCACACCTGCGTTTTTTTCTTTTCTTTTTTTTTGGTGGGGGGGGAGTTGGAGTCTCACTCTGTCACCCAGGCTGGAGTACAGTGGCAACGCTCATGGCCACCCCAGTGTCGACTTGCTGGGCTCTGGCGATTCTTCTGCTTCAGCCTTCCAAGTAGCCAGAGCTATAGGCGCACGCTACCACGCCCGGCTCATTTTTTATTTATTTATTGTAGAGACAAGGTCTCTCCAAGTTGCCTTGGCTGATCTTGAACCCATGGGCTCAGGCAGTCCACTCGCCTCGGCCTCCCAAGGTGCTGGGATTACAGGCTGAGCCACAGAGCCCAGCCCATTTTTTTAATATGTTATTTTTCTCCACCAGGTGTCAGTATAGTCTGTTAAATGCATATGGCACTCTATAGCTGATTGTGTTAGTTATGTACCTAAGCTAACTTTGTTGAATTTAAACAAAACAAAAGAAAACAAAAAAAACAGCTGGGCTCGGTGGCTCAACCTGTAATCCCGTGCCTTTGGGAGGCTGAGGTGAGTGGATTGCCTGAGCCCGTAGGTTCGAGACCCACCTGGACAGCGAGACCTCATCTCTACAATAAATC